AAGGTTTAAGGCCCGGTCACACTACACAACGATAACGATACGATAAATTGTAAACACGCGATAATTGGAAAAAAATTGTGTTAGTGTCCACACAACAACGAAAATGATAAAATTATCGTTAGACGATAACGATTTTAAAATCGCTCACCTGAGCGATTTTTTTTCTCAGTCGAACGATAACGATAAATTTTTTACCAATCAGCACGCATATACAAGTTATTGTATCGTTAATATCGTTGCGTAGTGTGACCGAGGGGTCCGACACGACCACATGAAGGGTCCGACACGACCACATGAAGCGTACGAGATTTCGAAATCATGCGATTTCGAGCCTGATTTCTTGATTTCTAATCTGATTTCTGTTGATTTCTAAACGGATTTCTGTTGATTTATAATGCGATTTCTTGATTTCTAACGTGATTTCTAACGTGATTTCCTGATTTCTAACCCGATTTCCTGATTTCTGTGAGTTACCGCTGTCATATAAGACTGTGGGCTCAATAATAACGAAGTCTTAGTGATTTCTGATTTCAAAATTGACTAATTTCTCTCGTGATTTCTTGATTTCGGGTTTGATTTCAGTTGATTTCTGAGTCGAGTGTACGAGATTTCAGCCGTGTCGGACCCCTCGAGTGTGACCTGGGCTTTACGGTATACAAATACAATATATAAAGTATTACTAACTTGCGTGTGCTCATTTTGATCTTCTGGGCATCTGATCAATACATTCTTTGGTGTATTCTCTGAACATTTGTCATGATTCATGTTTCGTTCGACTTGGTGCTTCTATTTAACCGTTTGCCTAAGCTTCTTCGTTGACGATCGGTTAAATTTAATAGGTGCCATTTCTATTCTGTGCTGCGTAGTCTGCGAACAGCAGTGCTTCCATTTTTGAAATCAAAATTTCTCATTTTTTTCATAAAAATTTCTCTAAATTCCTTAGATTGTATATTTTATTTCCTTGAAAATTCCTTGAAATTTCATGAAGCAGTTTGCAGTGATTTTGTAGCAATACAAAGCATTTAATTAATTTTCAAGGCACAAAATAGCACATTTAACAAAGATATGGGCAAGCTAAAAACCACAGGCTATTATACTGTTTAAAATTAAATATTTGTTATGAATTTACAAGAGATATGTTTACATTGATATGATTAATAAACTATTCACAGCGTTTGGCGCCAAAAGTTACTCAATCCCATCGCTCAAAAATTTTCGGAAATTTTCGAAAGCACGAGGAAAAAGTTAAAAACAGATTTTTAATTACTGCCGTTCCATTTGAAGTGTTCCTCAAATATTGATTCAATACATTACCTCGGGCACAGAATAAGGCACACAGAAGGGTACCCTGGCCGCCATCTTCCTAGCCAGTCGATTACATTTTATGGCCAATAAACGCGCTGTATTGGGTGAAGGCCCCGCCTTCTGGCCAGTCAACTGCATATTTTTGCATAGAAAAATGGCGACACGTTGCACCGCTGAGTGGCCCTTCTTGTACTGATCTTTATTCTGTGCCTCGGGCTGACCAATTCATACGAATTCAAATTTCTTTTTACTTCCTGTGCGTTTCCTATTGGTCAATCGGTTCTGAAACGAAATCTAATTGGCTCATTTAAAAGTAACAGGAAGTTGATCAATTTTCTATCAAGTGAATTGGTCTGCCCGAGGTAATGTACCGAATCAATATTTGAGGAACACTTCAATTGGAACGACAGTAAAGATAATTGATAAATCACTCAAAAGTTCAAAAAATAGTGAAACCTTCTTCTTCACTAATGCACTTGGATGAATATTTAAGTTTTTCGGAAAAATCCTTAGATTTCCTTAGATTTTTTCTCGTCCTTAGATTTTCCTTTTCGACAGTAGAATTTCCTTAGAAAAGGAAATTTCCTTGAAAATGGAGGCACTGGCGAACAGGCTCTTTGAATTGAATTTCAAACAGAGTTCAAAGAGAGCCTGTTCGCAGGCTACCATGTCCGAAGCATAAATTATGGAGATTATCTCAAACATTCAAACAACACCAACACGGAAAAAAATCATATTACTAGATTACACTGGTATCGAAGGAACTAGATTCTGTTCCGAAATATCACTTACTCGAACCGTCCTGACCGCGTAGCTCAGTTGACAGAGCATTGGGCTAGTATTCCAAAGGTCGTAGGTTCGATTCCCACCGTGGTCGGGCATATTTTTCAAGCTCGCCCGATGTGGATATACACTCAGAGTAACATCACAAACATCGTATTCACCTGAGTACACTACACCAACACAGAAAAAAAATTCAAATTATGTTGAAACATGCGACTGACCTATACATATCACTGGAGGACGCGCTCGATTTAATTTCGGGCTGCAAGCATGCGTAGGCTACCAAAATGACGACACCGAGCATGAGAGAAAATAGCCTGGGTACAAGGTTGATCACGACTTTGGCCCATATCTCAATCTCGTTCCGAGCCTGCGATCCTCGGGAAGGAATGAGAGGCTCTGGGATAATCCATTTCAGGGAGGAATCTGATTGGCCGTTGAATCAATCAATCTTAGATCGCGGGCTCGGGGAACGAGGTTGCCCATATCTAAATTCATGATAGTAAAGAGTCGCTTTACCCGCGCGGGCGAAGCGGGCTTTGAAAATCTACTCACGCGGGCGCGACGGGCGTCAAAAACAATGAACGAAGCGCCGCGCGGCCAAAGCGAACGTTAATGACAAACGGCCTTAACCACAGACACAATTTAGTTACCTGTTTCAGTACCAAATAAATTGTTCTTCACATAGTTAATGCACAAATTCCTGAGATTTAGCCTGCAAACAGGCCCTTCTGGGCTGCTTATGGTGATTTAAATTTGTACACTGGTAAAAACGCACAAGTTGTCACAGGTCTGCAAACAAGTTGTTACAAATATGTTTACAAGCTGTCAACAAGTTGTGTTCGCACTGCTTGTTCCTAGTTGTTGTAACAAGCTTGGAGTAAGCTTGTTGACAACTTGTGACAAGCTTGATGACATTATCAGACTTGTTACAAGATTGTTCTAACAAGTCTGATACAATCATGATAATCAAGAATGTTACAAGGTTGACGACACAAGGTTGCAGCAATACTGCTATATCATGACTCTATCGGACTTGTTGGAAAACCTTGTAACAAGCCTGATAATAATTTATTAAGTTGTTAACAATTTGTAACAACCTTGTTGATACTGATCAGATTTGTTGCAAGGTCGATACAGTCATGATATAACAATATTGTTACAACCTTGTGTCGTCAACATTCTTGTAACATTCTTGATGACAGTATCAGACTTGTTGGAACAGCTTTGCTACAAGCCTGATAATGCCATCAAGCTTGTTAGAAGTATACCGAACTCATTACTCACGTAGTATACTATTAATTATTTAATCGAAAATCCAAAAATAAAACTTACAAAACTTAAACCTAAAATATATTAAATTTTTCACAGTCTCACGAATCACGATATGTCTCACAGTCTCAATGTTGTTTTTGTATTATTCTG